TATTAAAGCAGTTTGTTTCAATTCAGCCCACCAAAATTATCCGGAAACACATTATTATTATGTAAAATCCCCTCAAGTTTCCTTCTGTTTAAGATAAGAAAGACACTCAGAAGTCAGACTGCTCATTTGTATGTTAACTACACATATTATGTTAATCTTTTTGTAAAAAAAATACAAAAATCTCATCAGAAATTCTTTCTGTTTAGGAGAAAAATGGAGATAAATCCAAAGGAAGGACATTAAGAAGTCAGACCGCTCATTTGTATGTTAACTACGCAAATTTTGTTAATCTTTTTGTAAAAAAAAATACAAAAAAATCAAATTACTCACTTTAGCATAGCGTATAGCATTAGCTTTAGCATAGCATTAGCTATAGCATGATCTATGTAAATTACCGATTGTCGTATTCCTTATAGAACTATACTTTTGTGTTTTCTTTTCTCTCTTTTTCTCTCTCTGTTGCATTAGATCCACCTTTAGGTCAACACACAAACACACACCATTTGTTCCACATTCCTGTCATCTGCATGAATTAGGACCTGGCCTGTTAGCTATGAGCTAACTAGCTAATAGGACTTGGTTATGTCTATCGCCGGCAATCCAAAAATTAGGAATAAAGAACGATATTAAAGCAGTTTGTTTCAATTCAGCCCCACCAAAATGATCCGGAAACACTTTATTTCTATGTAAAATCCCCTCAAGTTTCGTACTGTTTCAGAGAAAAATGGAGATAAAACCAGAAAAAAGACACTAAGAAGTCAGACTGCTTATTTGTATGTTAACTACACATATTATGTTAATCTTTTTGTAAAAAAAATACAAAAATCTCATCAGATATTCATCTGTAAAATTACGCTTAAAGCATTAAGAATGAATAATGAAGATTTTTCACCTCTTTACCAAAAGATAAAGTCTGTTTTCAGTTAAATAAAAATATTTAACTTCATTTATAAGAAATAAAAAGCACCAAATCTTTAATATCTTGTAGAGGAGTGTGTGTATGCATGTTCAGAGAGATGCCTGTGGGCCTACATGTTCGATTCATGAGCAAGAAATGACAATATTTGGACCGTTTATGTCCAAATAGCGCAACTCACTTAAAAGAAAACACATAAATCAACTGAGAACTTCTTTCCCCTTTAAGGGATGTAGATGGACAAAATTCCAGGGAAGCTTAAGGACTTATGGGCTTTATATGTGTAAAATATGTTTGATTTAACTTTAGATTAAATTTCAATGAAATTGAATTAATTTCCATGTTTTATTTGATATTCAGAATAGTCAAATCAGGGAATAAACATGTGATTTGAGATAAAAATAATAATAATATCCTCCCTCCTGTCCATGTGAACTGAAACAAAATAGATGCAAAAAAAAAAAAGAAAAAAAGCCTTTTCTCATTCTCAGCATGCACTTTAAATCCTCTCTCGGGAAGATATTATTCAATACATTAAAGCAGAACGGCTTACAAATCACCATGTTATGAATATGATATGCATGGGAGGAGGGCAGAAAAAGAGGCTTTTTTCCCTCAAGCTCCCACTGACCTGCATTTGTACTCTATCCTACCAATGAACCCTCAAAGCCTTCTGGGTAAGAGTAATTTCACTCCACGGATTAGCTGCGCGCGGCTTTATGCTAACACGTATGGATATATATGGAGTTCTGACCCACGTGTGCTCTCTAATGTCTGTAATAGCCGTCACTTCCAGGCTTATCTCGGCCTTTGAAGGCCTTTTTTTTAAGGGTTCATGTTGAATATCAGGGAGTATAAAGTAGGGAGTTTAAAGTACTGGAGTAGAGGAGTGGAGTAGAAGTACGAGTACTATATCCTCTTGAGACCCAAAGAAAAAAAATTGTGTCTTCAAATTTCTTTTTTGTTGTGATTTTCCATGTATTTGGACCTAAAAAAGAACATTACAATTTAATTTTTTTCAAAAATATTTTTAATTTTTATTTCATAGCATGTCCACTGTGGAGGACAACAGGACGATTTGCATGGGAAAATAGAACAGGCTTTAGATAATTAAATAATAAAAAAGAAGATGTCTTGTAAGGGATATTTACCTAAGAACTCTTAGGAAAAAAGTAAAGTTCCCAGCATGCAAAGCTATCACATGGCACATCACTGGAAAGCCCAGGATGTCCTCTACAGAACACTATAGGGCTTGATAGGGTAACTCCAGATACTTAGGGGGGGTACAGGTGGACAAAATGTCCGCTATAATGGACATAAATGAATGGGCCGGGTCTCAGGAGGATATAAAAGAATTGTCTTGAGTAAAAGTTGTAGTATTATCTCACCTCCAGACTTAAGTGGAAGTACGGAAGTACTCAGTTTTTTTTTTGTACTTAAGTATTGCAAGTAGAAGTATTTCAAAAATTGCTACTCAAGTATCGAAAGTACAATTAAAAGTAAAAGTACAAGTACTATGTACATAAAAAAAAAAGGCAGTCAAAAGTTTGATGGATATTGTTTATATTATTTCAAACCTGTGAAAGACAGTACAACTATAAAAGGCCATAAAGGGGTTTCCAAAAAATAAAAAC